GGCTGAACTTGCGCTTTGTAAAGTTGCAAGCGATGTGCCGTCATGAAATACTCTCTCGCTCTGCTGAGCACGCCAAGCTTTTTAGAGGCCAATTTGGCCTTCCCTTCCAAGTGACCACGAAACTGCACGCTATTCGATATGCCGACGCCAAGGATTCCGATACTGGCTGAGGCATCAAGGGGAGTGCCTTGAAACTGAGGAGATACGACAAAGGGGTTCTTTTTAGCGGTAAACGCGCAAACTTGTGTCTTCTGGGGATTGAACTGGACTAGATTTAGTCGGCCCCAATCCGAGACTTTGTTAAGCAAAGACTCGACTTCAGACACAAGTTTATCCCGGTACTCGGCGACGTTTTCCCGAGAAATATTGGCACGGCCGGTATATAAGGCATCCCCAGTGCTGTCGTCTGCATAGCAATGAATGCTACCAGTTAGCAACATATCATTGATATGCAGGAGAAACAGCGTTGGTGATAGCACGCAGCCTTGTGGAACACCAGCGTTGATAGGCTTGAAATCAGAGCATGCATCGTCTACTACGACCTTGATGCTCCGATCAGGTGAAACTGGTGATCCATTTGCACAATTTCTCGGGAAGCCCATAGGAAGGAAGCTTCGAAAGAAGCGCCTTGTGCCAGACCCGATCGAAGGCCTTCGCTATGTCCAAACTAACGGCCAATGTCTCCCCCTTGGACTCTACTGCCTCCGCCCATCTATGAGTTAAGTAAACTAGAAGATCACCTGCTGATCGACCCCGAGGAAAACCGTACTGACGGTCACTGATCAGCTGGTGATCCTCCAGGTACCTCATGTGCTGGCAGTTTATAATGGATTCCATTATTTTGGAGAACAAGGAGGTGATGGCGATAGGCCTGTAGTTGGACGGGTCTGAGCGGTCGCCTTTTTTAGGGATCGGGTGGACCAAAGCTGTCTTCCATGAATTCGGGACTACGCCTTGGGAGTAGGAGTACCGGAAAAGACGCGTTAAAACCGGTGCCAACTCCGGAGCACACGTCTTCAGCACAATGGGAGGGACTCCATCGGGCCCACTCGACTTGCTGACGTCCAGGGAGAAGAGTGCTTTGAGAACCGAGCGCTGTGTAAATCGCATATCCGGCATGGAGCACTCACATCGCGGGATGGTCGGCGGTGTGTTCCCCCCGTCATCTAGAGTCGAGTTAGACGCAAAAAGAGAGCACTACAGATCGGCTTTCTCTTTTGCGGCATGGGCCAGTGAGTTGTCCTCTCTGTGCAGAGATGGAAGGGATGGCTGACAGAAGTTCCCTTGGACAGCCTTGGCGAGAGACCAGAATGCACGGGTTCCCGAAGGAAGGCGAACTAGCTTCTCGCCAATTCTGCCGATGTGCTCAGACCTTGCCTTGGCAATGACGCTTTTGAAGGACCTGGAGGCGGGCTTATACTTCTTTTTAAGTGCGCTGGTATTTAAATCCCGAGACATTGATGCATCAGCCCAGGCCCGGTAGCACTCCTGCTTATAGCGTGATGCTATTTTACAGGAGCGACCAAACCATGGCTGGGATCTGCCTCCTATGGGTACCACAGATGATGGTATAAATAGTTCCATTCCCTGTAGCACCACATCAGTGACAGAATCGGCAACAACGCTGGGATCTTCCAGCGAGAAGCAAACCCGCCCCCAAGGGTAGGATGCAAAAAAAGACCGCATCCCGTCCCAATCAGCTGACCTATAGTGCCAAACACGGCGATAAGCTGCAGATCGCAATTGCGATTGGAGCGTGAGTGGCACCTCGCTCCGGACCGGGCATCGACGGAGACCTGATATCCGTCCGGAAGAGAGGTCAGCAGAAGGTCCAACAGGGAAGGTACATGGTCTTCCACATCTGGGATCCGCGTAGGCGAAGTAACCAGTTGTGTTAGACCATATGCCAAAGCAAAGTCGTAGACAGATCTACCCGCATGATCGGTTAAACGAGAACCAAGCCATTCAGCGTGGTGGGCGTTGAAATCACCGAGTATCACGATCTCTGCGGATGGGACCTGTTGTAGCACGGAGTCTGCAGCCATTTGGACGTGGTCGATGAGTCGGTCTGTGTCGGCATTACCGCTATGGGACCTATAGAGGCACCCGTAGACGCGGGGATGGTCGTCGCTGTCTACGCGCAGCCATAGGATGGACAGGTCCGTACCTTCAAGGCTGCCGAGGCGTCGAAAACAGATGTCCTCTCTGACGTATACACAAACTCCAGCCCGGGGCACAAAGGAGTGTTCCAATTTGTATCCCGGGTAGGAGAGATATGAAGTATCAGCCGGAGAGGACACCTGAGTCTCGGTTAAAAAGAGTGCAAAAATTCACGGATAGCGTGACAGGGGTCGCCTTGGTTCTATTGCTCCGCTTGCCCCGAGCAGCATTAGTCGCGAGCGGAATTTTGCCCCCCCCTCCCCAGAATACGCGGGGCAGCCTGAGCACCCACGCTCAGGAGTGGAGTAGTTTGGTCGTGGATGCTGAGTATTCTCGTTATCGTGATGTGAGGGATTCTCCAGGGGTGCTGGTACCCTCCTGGGGTAGTCTTTTATTTAATTCCACTACCATGTTGATGGGGGGGGGGGAGGAATTGGGCCTCCGGCCACCTGCACTCACCAAGCGCAACGCAGAGGTAAACCTCTACTTCACGCTGGTATTCTGTGAGGTCGTGGTACCACCCCGGTTCAAGCTGGCCCATCCGTGCAACAGCAAAAGCTACCGCTTGGCTCTACCACTGTTAAATCTGTATGCAAGATCATCACTTGAGAACGGCTGGACTGATTTTGATGAACACTCACACTCACAATTGGACCCGGTAAGTAGCGCTGTTGTCGAGATCTAGAAAACAATCATGCGAAGCCGGGGTGGAGCATTAGTCAGCATATAAAATTGGGATAACAAATACGATCCAATTCGCTTATGTACCGTGTGTCTTATTATTCATAAATCTTTAACTATTCGTTTTTAAATTTTTGCGAAATTAATATTTGCAATGTATTATAATAATCATTACTTGATTTAGAGAACGATTTACTTGATAGTTCGAATAATAATTAGTCTAGTCCTATTTTATTTATATTTTTAGACATATAATAAAATAATCCATTTGGGGGGTATTTGCCATAGTTGCCACGCTTGGCGAGCGGGTTGGCAACCGCAGTTTTTTATTGTATTTTTGCTGTTACCAGGAAGATGCTGCTGCCCATCTCCTGCCTGTTTCCCTCTGTACAACCAGTGCGTGTTGCCAGCGATGACATTCGGAACTGAGACGTGGTCCTTCACTGCCGGAAACTTAAGGTCGCTCAGCGAGCTATGGAGAGGGCTATGCTCGGAGTTTCTCTGCGTGATAAACTCAGAAATGAGGATATCCACAGTAGAACCAGAGTGACCGACATAGCCCAACGGATTAGTAAGCTGAAGTGGCAATGGGCCGGCCATATAGCTCGAAGAACCGACAACCGATGGGGAAGAAAGGTTCTCGAGTGGCAGCCTCGTACTGGCAGGCGAAGTGTTTTGCGTCCCCCCACTAGATGGAGTGACGACCTGGTAAGATATGCAGGAAGTTGATGGATGCAGATGGCTCAGGACCGTGCTTTGTGGCATTCCTTGGGGGAGGTCTATGCTCAGCAATGGACTTGTGAAGGGCTGTAATGATTATGATGATGAATAAAATAATAAAAATAAATAACTAAACATAAAGAGTATATCGATGTCGATTTTTGCTAATATTGCGAACGAAATCACTATAGATTAAAGACGTCATGTCTTTTAAAGTAACCTGACATAATATAATACTACTATAATAGAGATGTCCCTTCTCTAGTAAATCAGAACATACGAGTATACTTACTCTTATATTTGGCATATTATAAAGAGATCAAAGATGACCACTTGACATTTCTATTTCCACGCATGAATTACACGCAACATCTTTCAATAGATATGTCTCTTTTTGCCTTATTTGAAAATTAAATTAGAAAAAGCGGGACAAGTATATTGACTCAATTCATGTAGAATTGTAAGTTGTCTCTATGTATACGTATCATGGAGTATAGAGGTACTGTTTAGGCCAAATATTAACATTTTTAAAACTTGCATTCAAGACGCGCGCTCGGCGCGTTCATTCGATGGTACACAGGCACCCCTCCCCGCGCGCTTCTCTCCGCTCACCACTTGGTTGCTCGACGTGTGGGCGAGAGATTATTCGCGACCGCCGTGTTGGTTAGACGGTCTAAAATTTACGCTCGGAACCGCCTCTAATAGCGTTCTCTAATCTCGTACGTTTTACGTGACAACGAGGCTCATCTTGTTATAATTCTTGTTGTAATAGTTTTGAGTGATTAATTTAACATCGATTGCCATTAATTTGCGTCGACGAGTTGTTTGTGTGGCATTTTAATATCGTAATAAGACATTTTTGCTTTGTCGGGTGGAACGGTAAAACATTGTGACCCGAGAAGAGTTCGCGGCCGTTTTCGAGTATAAGTTTGTGCTAAGTGAACATGGGACATTGAACTTTGACCGACAGTTCTTAAGTTGTGCAGTGTGTCACTTGTTTTAAGTTCGATTAACGTTGATTTAGTTAAATTTGAAGTTAGTTAAATGTACAATAAAGTTGATAAACTAATATAGTGAAATAAAAGCAGAAGGTCTCTATTGGGGAACGCCCACTGGAGGGATCTCACATCGTGGAGAAAGGCAGCGCCTGTGAGTCTGCTCTCAGATTACATCGGTGACGTCAAGTTACATCTACACACTTTCACACACCACTTTACATCCACTTACTTACCACCTGACGGTGCCTTGTGGTCGACCCTACCTCCGGAACTCGGTAAGTTTGTGTTTGCTTATCAGCCATTAGTTAATAATTATCCATAGGCCATTGGGCCCGAACCTTCTGGTTGCTCGTCGAGGGAATCACTCATGGGCCCTGGTCCAGTCGACTTCTGTCGGGGCAACTGAGGGTCGCAACAGGTACTCTATACTCCATAATACGTATGTATGTAATTACTCTAAGGTTCGAACTTTCATGTTAATTGCACTGATCGTCGATAGATAGAATGGATTTTAATTTAAAAATTCGGAAATAGGTGGTTAGTGACATTAATCACCAAGACTGAAAGAGTTAAAATACCTACACTAAGTTACGTATAACAACAAGTCATCATAATCACCATTATTACAGTCTTTCACATGCCCACTTCTGCTGTACGTACGTTTCCACCAAGGAACGTCACATAATACCGTCCTGAGCTCCTGAGCCACTTGTATTCATCGACATGCTGTGTCGGTTCCTTTAGTTTTACTGCGGATGTCTTCATTATCTAATTCTATACTCGTATTCATTGCTCGCTGAGTGACCTTAAGAATTGTGAGAAAAATACACCAAGCAGTGAAGCACTACATCTCATATCCATCACAATTAATATATCTAAGTGGTTTTTACTAAGTATGACTATCAAATATTTTTATCGAACACTAAAAAACAAAAAAATATTCTCTTTATTTCGACCTTCTTGTGGTTCTATTTTTTCTGATATGTATTTCATTAACTTCATCGTGACTTTTAAGCTATTTTGACGTATGTTTACCGCGGGCCGAGAACAAAGAGCAGCCAAGAATTTTTATAAAAATTATTTCGGTTTTTAGGTATATATTCTGAGGATGAGCGAAAGTGTGGTATGTACAAATTACATCAATCTTTTTTTCTTTTTATTGGTCTTTTACTCTATTGCTGGTTTATTGCAACGAGCGTATGTATACATCATAACTGTTGTGTGTTGTGTTGTGTTTTGTTGGGTTAGTGATTGTAAACACGACTGCCTAATCATGGTTCGGAGCTTAAATCCTAGGACGAGCCAAAATCAGTTATTTATAAGTTGAAGGTATGCAGTATCCAGTCGTGTCGGATTGTCGTCCTATCGGACTATGAGAGTGAGAATGCACCTGTGCTAGTGCAAACATCATCATCATCATTACAGCCTTTCATAAGTCCACTGCTGAACATAGGCCTCCCCCAAGGAATGCCACAAAGCACGGTCTTACCAGGTCGTCACTCCATCTCGTGGGGGTCGCCCTACACTTCGCCTAACGGTACGAGGCTGCCACTCAAGAACCTTTCTCCCCCATCGGTTGTCGGTTCTTTGAGCTATATGGCCGGCCCACTGCCACTTCAGCTTACTAATCCGTTGGGCTATGTCGGTTACTCTGGTTCTACTGCGGATATACTCATTTCTAAGTTTATCACGCAGATAAACCCCGAGCATAGCCCTCTCCATAGCTCGCTGAGCGACCTTGAGCTTCCTCATACGGCCAGCAGTGAAGGACCACGTCTGAGATCCGTAAGTCATCCCTGGCAACACGCACTGGTTGTACAATTTCGTTTTAAGGTTTTGAGGTATGTCTGACGAGAAGATGTGTCGTAGTTTCCCGAACGCTGCCCAGCCGAGTTGAATCCTTCGATTGACCTCTCGGTCGAAGTTGGACTTACCAAGTCGGACTATATGTCCCAGGTAAACATACTCGTCAACAACTTCGAGCTTAGTGCTTCCAACAACTACCGGCATAGTTGTGACATGGACATTAAACATGATCTTTGTTTTGTCCATGTTCATCCTAAGACCTATTCGTTGGGAGACACTATTGAGGTCATTGAGCATGTTGCTTAGGTCCTCCAGCGATTCTGCCATAAGGACTATATCGTCGGCAAATCGAAGGTGAGTGATGTACTCGCCATTGAGGTTAATACCGTATCCTTTCCAGTCCAGAAGCTTGAAAACGTCTTCCAATGCAGCGGTGAATAGTTTCGGGGATATAACATCACCCTGTCTTACACCTCTCTGCAATTGGATAGGTTTCGTACTCTGGTTCTGTACTCGGATAGCCATCGTAGCTCTACTGTACAAACACTTCAGCACTTCGATATACCGACATTCAACTTGGCACCGCTGAAGGGACTGCAGCACCGCCCAAATTTCGACGGAGTGAAAGGCTTTCTCATAGTCCACATACGCCAGACATAGTGGCAAATTGTACTCCTCGTACTTCTGTACAATTTGCCGAAGGGTATGTATGTGGTCTATGGTGCTAAAGCCCTTTCGGAAACCGGCTTGTTCGGGAGGCTGGAAGTCGTCAAGTCTGCGCGCTAGGCGATTCGTAATGACTCTCGAAAACAGCACGTATACGCGGCTCAGAAGGGAAATCGGTCTGTAGTTCTTCAAGAGAGCGTTGTCACCTTTTTTGAAGAACAAGACCACCGCACTTCTGCTCCACGCTTCCGGTGTAACGCCACCATGGAGGACGGAATTAAAGAGCTTCTGAAGGACTTCAAGTACCGGTCTTCCACCCGCTTTCAGAAGCTCCGCTGTAATTCCATTCTCGCCTGGGGCCTTGCCGTTTTTAAGGCGCTGGAGAGCCATTCTAATCTCGCTCAGACTGACGTCCGGGATATCTTCGGAATAGTGCAAACACTTGTGTACTATTTATTTATTGTCCTGCGTAGATGGCTGGTAGCTAGTAGGTTATATATTAATATTTCAAAATTTTTACTCTTACTTTTATAAAATATTTTTTTTCCATTTGCAGAGCACACGGACAAAAACGCTGAGCGCAACGAGCACAACTGAGTCAATAGAAATCCCTTTGGTAAATTATTAATTGAATTATATTCACAAATTATTATTTATTTACCATTAAGAATCATTTTATTATTTTATTATAATTAAATATTTAAAAAAAATTAAAAAATATTATTGGAGAGTAGATTCAAGTTTCACTTCTTTCTCTTGTAAATTCTAAAACCAAAGTTCTCATGGATTACGTACCGCACCGTCATCAGATTCTCACCAGAAGTGTAGAGTTATTTTTAAATAAGAGTGACTAGCGAGCACACATTCCACCCGATGGTAAGTGAATGCCTTGTTAGCCCTGAGGACTATGATGGAATACCTCTTTACCAGCAAAAAGGGTCCCCAATTCTTGTCACTCACCAAACAATACACTACAGTATTATGCTGCTATTTCAAGTTGGTATTATGTGTAAGAGCGTGGTTCTTCTTCGGCCGAGTCGATCCATTCATGCTGCTTTGTCTTGACGATATGGATAATGGCACCTACACGGTTGATACTTCTTAATTGGTTCAATAATCTCTTTTGTCTTGCAGATCGCTGATAGATGGACGAATAATATAAATTACAGGCAGCTTGTAATGTCTTCATGCATTGGCATCGTCCAAGTATGGTGGCACCCTTACTTACACGACTTGCGTAAATTCCTACCGTTCCTTTTTCTCTACAATATATTTAGCGTACTCTTCGGCTATCCTTTACTATATTTGGAATTGGCTTTAGGAGTGGTAACAAAAAAAGGAGTTCTAAATTGTTGGGATCTAGCGCCTATGGCCAGAGGTAATAAACATATGCAGTTACTTAAAAATATATGGTATTCATTAAAAAAATTCCTTTATTAATATTTATTTAACTACGAACAACATAGCGAAGCTAGTTTAAGCTATTATCGGACCTTAGTGTACTACTAGCTATCCTAATACTTTGACAAGAAATTAGAAGATAGAACTCATAAGCCAATATTTTTTAGGTTAGACTAGCGATACGTCCCGACTTCGGACGGGTTATTTCTGGATCTTGACAACAGCACCACCTACTGGTTCTAATTGCGACTCGTTTAGATCGTCCAGGGACCCAATCAAACACACGCAGAAAATTTTATCAGAATCGGAAATCCAGGCATTTTCGAGTATTTGCGAGACTAACGGACAGCAATTAATTTTTATATATAGAGATAATATAGGTGCTAATATTTATTAATTAGTACTAGTAATTAGCACCGACAACCGATGGGGAAGAAAGGTTCTCGAGAGGCAGTTTCGTATCGGTAGACAAAGTGTAGGGCGTCCCACCACTAGATGGCGTGACGACCTGGTAAGACATGCAGGAAGTCGATGGATGCAGGTGGTTCAGGACCGTACTTTGTGGCATTCATTGAGGGATGCCTATGTTCAGCAGTGGACTTTTGAAGGGTAGGTAAAGATAACGATGAATATAATTGCGTATTTATTTCCAGCCAGAGAAGTCGTGTCCCTGTAATTAATGTAATGTAGGTCACAGGTTACTACGTATCTACGTTATTTTAACGACAAAAAGACGCTATGGGAAATGTATAATGATTATTATTTACGAAAGATAGCGGTATATCCAACTCGCTTAGGCCAAACTTACAATACAATGTTTGGTTACGTCTGAGATTATCAAAGTTATTTCTTTTACCGCCCCTTTGATAATCAATTATTTTTCAGCGCCCCCAATTTTTAATACACTCCTAAAACTTAAAAACCACAATTTCATTACTTTAATGAATTTAGTTATGGTGTGCTATATTAATCGATTCTGGTGTTTAAACTTACATTCTAAACTAGACATTATTACCAGTGAGAGCAATTAAAACGCAACTTTATAATATTAAGAATATATTTTAATCAAATTAAAAGAAACAATATAGATAGGTAATCAATTTTAGTTTTAATACTAATCTAATGAGATGAATGAATTTGATGATTTTTAATAAGTTTGTTGATGAAAGGTTCAATTTTACACAAAAACAGTCGTAAGCCGCGTTCGGTAACATGAAAACGCACTACACACACACAGCACTAAATCCACGTTCACACAAATATGACAATGGGAATGCTATCAAAAATCTTTGAACGATCGACCACAATCCAGGTTACAACTGCGGGATTGAATTTTGTAGCCAAAATTATTGGTAGCCATTTTTGAATTTGATTTTAATTTCCTCGTTCGTTGTCAGTTCTATAAGTTCTTCTTCCAGTTGGGGTGATACTGCTATGTTGACATTTGAAAAAGGATCTAACACCCAGTCTGGTATTTCCAATTTCAAAATCTCCTGGAATCTTTAAATGACATCACTCTGGAGATATTCCAAATGTTGACAGTAGACAAGCAAGTCGTCATTGTTGCAGGATACTGATAAATTAGGAAAATTATGGAACTCACGTCTGCCGATATTCTTCTTGTGTAAGAGCAGCTTGGCTACGAAAGCAGCGACAACATTTTTTTGTTTTTATTAAGTTCAAATCATCGCCTTGAAGTTGGAGATTCGTATCATTAAGCAATTTATAAAGGTCTGTGTCTTTGTTTTCCAAGAACTCTACGACAGAGTCAAACAAAAATTGTAAAATCGCGTCAGACAATTTTCTTTTTGATAGATGATAAATTTCAACCGATTGATTATTCACACCTCTGATTGAAAGATCAATCGGTTGAAATCTTCATCATTAGTAGCGTAAAGCTGATTAAATAATCTGTCATTTAAAGAGTTGTTTCGGATTTTATTGATTGATTTGATAACATGTTGCAATGATTGAAACAGTCGTTCACTTAAATTTCCAGCAACCAAATGTTGTCGATGTATAACGCAATGTACAGCAAGCACATCTGGACTTTTGTTTTTTAAGTACGCTATGAAGCCTTTTTGACACCCCGTCATAGCTGAAGCACCATCTGTAGCCGTTGATATAATATTCTTCAAGGGAATTCCTTTTTCAAAATTTTTCCAGTTTTTTAAATATGGTTTCTCCTTTTGTGTCCGTCTCTAAATTTTTAGCAAATAATAGTTCTTGACATATATTTTCATCTTTAATAAACCTCACGTAAGATAGCAACAATGCTTCATTACTTGGTAAAGTGGACTCATCCAACTGAATTGAAAATTGACTAGTCTTCAGATGATTGCGCAATGACTCTTCAATATTTTCAGCCATTTCATCAATTCTTCTTTGCACAGAACTATTACTTAAAGTAATTTTTCGAATTATGTCTGCCGCCGGTTTATGGAGCACAGTAGTTATAACTACTTTTATTGCCGGCAATAATTAACCTTTCTCCGATGGTGTGTGGTTTACCTATTTGAGCAATTAAACAAAGAGATATTGTACCTATGAAGCTCGAAGTCCGTTATCGTCTTGCTTAGCAGCCACCGAAAAAAGTTTTGATACACTTGGCTGAGCATTATGCTTCTTTTCCAGGTCTTGAAAACAGGCTACATTTTTGTCTTTCTTATCTGCATGCATTTTATTAAAATCAGCTTGAAGTCTTAAAGGCTTCATCGCTTCGTTTGAAAATGTAATGTTTTTGAACAAAGAAGGCACAAAGGCAAAGATGGATTTGTCGAATTTTCTATCTTTCTTTTTTCTTTTTAAAACCGTAACCTCCACACTAGGATTTTCTCCTGTATCGTGGGGGCAGTTTACAAACATAAATTGCACAAGGACAAACATCCAGACCCGGAACAATTATTTGTAGGCCATACAAATACTTGTTCCGTGCGGGATTCGAACCCGCGGCCCTTAGCGCTGCAACTCAATAGCTAAGCCACTGCGCTACGGAGCCGTCATCTATGAATCCATATTTAATATATTCTGCATTGTCGTCTCATCTTTTTTGCTTCCGACATGGCTTTGTTTTTACAAATATGTAACTAAAGTGTTGAACTTAAATACTTGTTTAAAGATTGCGCGCGAAACCACAAATGAAAATATAAAAATTATTACGACCTATAGGATTTAAATACAGTACTCACCGACAGGAATAAGACAAACAACACTCACGAACTCCAAAGTATTTCTAGTTTATATACCATCATACAGGGTTACAGGGCAGAAATATAAACTAATTATTCGATATTGAGTAGTGGGTAGGTTTTAATTTTAATAAATTTTAAAATATAAAGTATCTAAATGAAATTACAAATCAACCGGGTACGATACCCGTAAACCACACCAACGCACCCATTTTTCCTGGGCCCCTTAACGCCCCCCTTTAGGTCTCCAAAGCCCACAAGGGGGCGTTATCGCCCACTTTGAGAAAGACTGGGTTACGTCGAACAGCGTCAAAGTTACGTGGATGTATTTATTGTATCTACTGCGATCGAAAACCCAACTGCCTAGCGCGATGTTTATGGCAAAGCCTGCGTACAACTGTAGAGGTTCATTTCCAGCAGTAAGCTATTATGATGTAAAAGAAGAATAGGATATCAAGGAAATGGGATAGGAAAAAGTTGTAGTGTAATTGTAATTATATACTCCTGAGCACAGACCTGGAAGGAATGGAATGAGTTGTAACTCGACTCGAGGAGTTGAATTCGCTATTTTTTACCACAGGCGATACTAGTAAACATCATAACATACACAATATTTATAACAATAAATTATATTATACATACTACTTATTTATTTATTATAGTTGTACTTACTTAGTCAATCAAGTTTCGCTCGGCAAAAGAAATATTTTTCTCATGGATGACACCAGTCTATCTAAATAAACTTGTAAAGTAGAACAAACTCTTTTGAACCGTTTGCGAGAAACCAATAATAATGTCCTCCAGACCGAACTAGGGTCACGGCAGCCAGTCTCAACGGAGACTAGCCATCTGCGCAGGTCAGGATTATAGTGCACGAGTGTGTGCGCAAAGACAGGTGTACTCTTTATTCCCTCACTCTCATAGTTTGTCGCACGGAGAGAGATTAGGTGTGGTATCTAAAACTAGGTCTGATTCAGAACTTTCTTTATCAGGTGTAGGCTTCGCAATGTTGTCGTCTTGCGCTTTGACGGCTTTAGTGACAGGTGTAGTGAGTGCGTGGTGTTTGGCTTTGTTCGTGCATTCGTTTCACTCGTTCTTGCCGTGGCTGCACTGTGCGGCAACGGCGCAGCCGGCTTGCGCTGCGAGGCACCGACCCCTCCCACAGGGAAGCGAGACCCCACCACAATCCTTCTTCTTGTTAGTACCTATAAATTTTATTTTTATTTACATTACACAGCTTTGCCGTGGTAGGTCATGAGCTAAGCGCTCGCTGAAATTTTGCAGTACGCGAGTAACCCGCCCGCAACCATGAAATTAATTGTAATTTTATGTGCTGATCTACCATGTGCTCGACGGTGAAGGAAAGTGAGAAAACCTGCACGTCTGGGAAATAAAAAATATTTCGAAGACATCTGAAACATGTGAACATCTATTGGGGAAGTGTGTTGGACACTTGATTGCTTCAAAACCTTCGCCCAGACAGCCTGCGCCCAGGAGAGGATCGTATATATATCAAAGTCAAAGATCGATATGCAGTCTCTTCCCGGAATGACTGGTTTATCCTAGGTTTGACCAAGGACTTACGGCAAACCCCGAAATAAATTCCAATTTCGACCTTTGACTGAAGTCATAGTCAAATCTAGAAGTACCTAACTTTTTAGTCAAACGTCGAAAGTAAAATAATCTGTTTCAGCATTTGTCGCTTTGCCTAGTTGATCCTAGAAGCGACTAAGACAAATTCGGTCAAACGCCAAACGATTCGTATTAATTTGTGGCTAAAGTTCCATAGACAATGAATTGATTAGCAGTGGGGAGCAGTTTTTTTAAAAAAAACAATTATAACAATTCACATAACATTGTTTCATTTACCACTATCGTAGCAGAGTTTAGATCAACCTGACCTTATAAATAAGATAGGTCGAATCTGTTCCACGCCCCGACTCCACTTAGTCTTGTCTGCCCTACCCCTAGAGTGTTTATGTAAAGCCGTAAGCGCGGAGGGAGAGCAGCCTCCGCCCGCCGTAGCTCGCCTACGCAGGTTTGGTTTGACCAGCCTCAGCTGCTACGACTCGCACACCTGTAAGAGTCGTAGCCTTGCGTAGCAAATCGTAGGCACCTGCCTACGATGTGCCTACGATTTGCTACGCAAGGGCGAAGGGGCTGCACATCCCGTAGCGCCAAAGTCGTTGCAGAAGTAACTTTGGGTCAATGTTCCTGTGTAAAAAAGTGAGGTGAAATTCTTATAATATTGAAAAACAATAAACATGAAAATTAAAAATTGTCCTTTTATTATACCTAATCTGACAAACTAACATATTCCAATACCTAATTGAGGTCTGACTGGTCAAACCCCGATTTCATGAAATTGAGTTTAGGCATGAAAAGTTCGTTAGTCAAAGCCAGAAGAACGTCATTTATTTGGACTTTGACCAAGACTTTATGTCAAACCTGAGGATTGACTAGTCAAACCTAGGAGCGCCGGAGTTTCGACGTTTGACTACAACATATAATTTTATGTTACGCGGCTGTAAAAATCGCTATCTGTTATATTTTGTTTTAATTATTTATATATTTAGCAAGATTAAGAAACTTCTGTTATTATTAAATATATATCAATAATTATTTCCTATGTTATAATGTCCTACGTATAATAATAAAAATAATGTTTAAAAATACGCACCGCCACTAGGATTCTATCCTGTATCGTGGTCGCATATAAAGGGAGGGTAAACATCCAGACCCGGAACCATCGATATATATATACTACGCACTAGATTTCGCATTCCGAACATTCAACCGAACTGTACTGCAATCCGTACACTAAACTAAATATTGCTTAAATTGAATATTTGTGAATTCCATAAGATAGTTATTATTACATTTTTCTTATTTAGAAATATGTTTGTTTAGATTAAAGTAAGAGTATTTTATATTAAATTCTTATATTTATTTTATATTAAATTAAAGTCTTGGCGCATGCGCGACTCCACTATCTCCTGCGCATGCGCGAAGACATAGAGTAGCGCACAATTTTGTTTGGAATAGCTTCTGTAGTACGTAGTACATAATAACTCAATGCTCGGAACAAAAATATTTGTTGGCCATACAAATACTTGTTTAGTGCAGGATTCGTACCCGCGACCCTCAGCGCTGCAACTACCGGCAAATCTACTGTGAATGAAAAATTAAAAGATGCGATTAAAGAAAAATAAAGGGAAAGTTGGTCTCGAGGTGTGCTTTTCTTGCACGACAACGCACCCGTACACAAGAGTCATGTTGTGATGTCTTCCTTACACAAGTGCGGCTTAAACCTGCAAACTTCAAACTACCCTCCTCATAGTCCAGATTAAGCCCCTTCGGATGATGATTTGTTCCCAAATATGAAAACAGAGCTTCGGGGAGAGAAATTTGCAGATGACGAAGAAGTGAAGTTGTCGATTTCTGCCTACTTTGAGTACCTTAACAAAATATTCGTTTCGAAGGTATAAATAAGTTGTTTGAACGGTCTGGGAAGTGGGTTCAAAGTCAAACAACTTATTTATACCTTACCGCTGGGTTTTTTACTGGTTCTTCCCAGGACAGAGGGTATTTTTCGAACCAGTGGTAAAGTAACAAATTACTTTCAATAAATTACACATGTGATTTATATTGAATAAAAAATATTCTATTCTATTCTAATGGGGAATATATCGATAAGGAAAAATTATTTCATGTTTAATTTCACCGCCTTTACTTTTCATTCCGGGAACTCTTTCACCTCGAAGGTGTAACAAACTGACTTTGCAATCGGTGCAAGACCGATATGTCCCTCCTTACTTACATAAGGCCAAGTATCTATTCTGCAAATTTAAATTTTACAGCGTTTTTTTTTCAGTAGAATTTAACCGCATCTCTACGAACTTACTACAGGTACGATAGTGATAGATTTTCAGTTTACATCATACTAAATCATCTAATGATTCTATTTATTTGTAGCAATTTTGTTTTGACCTTGAAACGTGACGGACTAAAAGGTGGCCTGGGTAACATAGTGCCAGAAGTGACATTCTATTATATAATTTGTTGGGTACTGATCTACTTCATGACTTTCAAGCGAATATATGGCTATTCTAAAGTAAGATTTTATATGTTGTACGTTCTAGATTTTATCTATTGTACGTGCTTTAATAAATGTTTAGGTCTAGCGGTAGGACTCTTTTCTGCCTAGAGTCGCGTCTAGGTAGGTACTAGTCTTACTGATTCCTGCCTCTTATTAGCAATGCCTGCATTGCCTTGTGCCGGTCTGAAGAATATAGAACCAAGATAATAATTACAGGCAGATTAATTTCATGTTAATCCTCAGAGGCGACAACGCATATGTTAACCTCTTTGTTTGGAGTTGGCTGCAAGTGTCTGTAGACAGCAGTAACCACTTACCATCAGGTGGATTTTAAGTTCGTTTGTTACTTCAGTTTTATAAAAAAAAATGTATGTAGATACATATTATAATTTACGTCCGCCGGCAGGAAATAACGCAGCAAATGTTATTTCAATCTTCGAAGATTTTAGGTGGTTCTAATTTTTTTTTATAGAATAAGGGTGACAAACGAGCACACAGTCCACCTGATGGTAAGTGGTTGCTGTGGCCCACAGACATCTCCATCTATATTCGTTTGCGGATTAAAATGCAGATGCGTTGTCAGTCGTGAGGACTAAGATAGAATGCCTCTTTTCCAGTAAAATGGGTGTCCGGTTCTCACCATACACACTCACCATACGAAACACAGCAGCATTAAGCTGCTATTTTACGCTGGTATTCTGTGAGAGCGTGGTCCTTCCCCGGTCGAGCCGACCCATTCGTGTTACTACTATACTACTAATATAGCTGCAGCTTGGCTCTACCACATAAAAAAGCATATAGCTGCAGCATGGCTCTACCACGTAAAAATACAAATAACTATGTATTTCATTGTAAAAACGATTTAGATTACAAACTCTATAACACTACGTACATCACCAACTTCAAAACAATATGTTCAAATATGACTACTTACTAGATAATAGTAGTACCTTCTCAGCCTAGGAGTCTGTAGAAATAGGACAGACACAGGCAGTTACAGGCTGTGAGGCAATTCATAGTCCTCAGAGGCATCTGTATCCTTTATCGTTTGAAGTTAAGTAAAGAGTTTTGGTCACGCCGGCCAGCCTCAACGGAGACTAGCCATCCATGCAGGACAGGATTATAGCGCCCGAGTGAATGCTTAAACACAGGTGCACCCTCTATTCCTTTAGTCTCATAGTACTATGGGACAGTCATCTTACTTTCGTTTGATCTCTCTCCGTCCTGCGGTTGCCAACCCGCCTGCCACGCGTGACAAAACTAAGGCAAAATCCTCCCTATGAAGGAGGCCAATGTTCAATAGTGGACTTTTGCAGGATGTAATTGATAATTATTGCTTTTGGTTAATTTCAGTTAATATTATTCAAAGATGTTCTTGCTTACTTCATGCTGATTATCTGTGTGCTGGGTGCTGTACGGCTCGACGGAGCTACTACGATGTTTAACGAATGTGATTGGGGCGTATTGTTTGAAGGAACCCAGGTATATATTTTATTAACGTGAGCATAAGGAGAATGTATCTAGTTAAAAAAGAACATCCCCATTAGGACCTGTATCGTGGAGGGAGGAGTATCCAGAATCGGAACAATTGTTTGTAGGCCATACAAATAGATATGTGGGATTGGATCCCACGGCTTTTAGCACCGTATTTCAATGCTAAGCTACTGCGCCACGGAGCCACCTACGCAGTATCTTTGTGATAATCGATTATTTTCATATTAGATTTATTATATTACTAGCTGACCAGGCAGACGTTGTTCTGCCCTTTTCGACGACCCTTCCTATGAAAAAATCCTTAAATTCGCGATAAAAAAATATTGAAGGTCACTTATCGGAATAAAAAGTATCTTATCTCTCAAGTTGGACCAAACTACACACAGTAATATATATAAAATATATAAAGATTATATTTATTAATACTTTCATATTGATTTATTACCTTTTATCCAAATTATATTCGTTTTAATAAAAAAAAAACACGTTATTTTATATAAACAATTTACAGTCTTGGTCCAGCCTCCTCCTACTTTGTTGATCTATTACAACATTTTTTTTCTCACGTTAATTAGTCAGCAGGTATACATATTTCCACTAATTTACAGATTTGGCGCGATGCATTAGAATATTCCCTTGTACAGATGTCTGTGTCGCAAGGGGTATTAGTTATGCTGGGCGCATATTGTCCCAAGGAGCAACACAAGCTCGCTACTACGGCTTTACTTACGTTCATCGTATCTAAAACGTGCTGTATGGGTAGTGGCCTCGTACTTGGCGCAGCTCACGGAGCTCTACGCAGAGATTATGATACCGAAACAAAAATCTGGAACGGTTAGTCATTTTAATTAATATTTTAATGTGAAACTCTTTTTGAATAATACCAATTTAACAGGTTTTATCGATTGTGATCTCTCTTACATAATATCAAACAAAATGATTACTAAAAACCCATGTAAAAAACATGCAACCGATTCTCCGGGAAGCCTGTTGTCTTTGAAAATATTTAGTATTATCAGTTTGATAAACCAAAAATCCTCACAAAACCACATTGAAATACTAAGGATGATTAGTAGGGCTATTGAAATTTAAAAAAAACATCCTCATTTACATATTGGTACCTCATCTATAATCTATATCTGGCGTATAATCTCATCTGTAATCTATATTGAATTATCTGACTTCTATAGCTCAGGGGGTTATTTGCATGCCAATAAGACATCATATTGCATGCCTTAAGCACAGAATAAGTAATAGTATTAATAATTTAGTATTGCATGCCTTAGGCGCAAAGCGCGTAGCTATGTTCTACTACCGCCTAAAAATCAAAATTCCAACGTTTTGTCGCATGAAATCGTATCTAACATTCACATTGAACTTATAAATTATATAAAAAGCACATTGTCAGAAAGATAAATGATTGTTGAACTTACTATTATTATTTTTTAAATTGATCAATTGCTATTTTTACATAAAAAAATGGTTTTAGTAGCATAACATGTAGATTTCTCAAGTCCGCATGGTGGCGAAACACGATAACTTTTGAAAATATCAATTGCTCAACTCAATTCATTTTTAAAACTCTTCATCTATCATGTGGGAAGCCATGGAATGTAAATGGCAGTTTAATTTTTTTTGTTTAGTTTAATTTTTTTTCCGCTGTAAAATAGCGAAATTTTCGGGGTTTAGTGCAGCCTTGTATTAATTTATTTTACTAAATACACTTTGCCTCACTCCCGGCCACAGAGTACTTTTTTACTCCGGGCTCAGCCGCCGTTCTGAGTGGTCGTTTGTTTGCAGCGGTTCATGCTGAAAAATATCAGTAGCTTTAGAAATACAAAATATTCCATATAATCACAGATTTTTATTACAATATATTGTTTTGCTAAAAGTACCCAAGATTTATATATCAATATACTTATACGTACATTTAAAATGAACGAGCAAATGCAATTACTATTCTTAACAATAAAACAAGAAATGGACAAACAAACAACGACTCTAACAGATTCAATCACAGAAGCGACATTAAAAAAAATGGATGATAAATTAAAACCAATTATTGCAGAAAATCTGTATCTAAAAAATGAAGTGGAGAAATTAAATGTGAAGATGAAACGTCTGGAACTTGGAAAAAAGGAAACCAATTTGATATTCTACGGCTTCGAGGAATCTACAGAGAATATAAACATAGCGGAAATGGTATCAAAAACTTTAAATAACTCGGGTATTGAAACGCATAAAACAGATATTAATAAAGCATTTAGAATTGGCAAGGTGAAAGGAGAAGCACGACCGATTTTAGTTAATATGCTAAATACATGGAAGAGAGATGAGATATTGCGTAGTAAGAAAAAGTTACCAAAAATATTTAGGTTAAAGAAGATTTCAGCAAAGAGGTTTTAGAAAAGAGGAGAGAACTCATGCCTCAACTAAAGGAAGTACGAAGAAAGGGACGTATAGCATTTATAAAATATGACATACTGGTTGTAAAGGGCGAAGCAAGTGGGATGCGAGATAAAAGGAAGAGAGAACAATCTGTTTCACCAAAGACAACGAATGACACTCGAGACGCCCGACCAAAAATTATTAAAATAAATGCCTTCAAAAGAATATACAGAAACAGATCTCACTCAGTATCAGATATGAATAAAGAATAGCAATTAACATACATCGGACACCGGAAGATTAGAGCAAACGAAATAAAAATATTTAATAAGACAACCAAAACTCTATCACACCTCCCCCAAGCCGGCTGGTCCCCGTGGGGGATATCGACCAATCCCTTCCAGCTCCAACAATAGTAAATAACAGGAGCACCAAAACACTAAAACCACAAGAAATTAGAAAACTCTATATTTCCACTTTAAGCTGCCTAACACTGAGAACACAAGAGCGGGTCACTAAATTAGAGCTAGCACTCTCAAAAATAAAGTAGGACATATTAGGTTTAAGTGAAGTTAGAAGAGTGGGTGAAAGCATTGAAGATCGAAAATAATAAATTCTGTACTACAAAGGGGAAACAAAAGGAAGTTATGGTGTTGGCTTCATGGTTAAAAAACATTTGCAAAGAAACATAGACAAATTCATTGGTATATCAGAAAGAATAGCTGTACTTAATATGCATTTACCAGGCTACAGGCACAAATGGTCGGTTATTCAAGTATATGTTCCCACTGAACAACAAGAAGAACGGGTTAAAGACCTATTCTATGACCAACTGTCATCAGCTTTACAAGACACACACAAAAACGTTTTAGTTATAGGAGATTTTAATGGTAGGATAGGCTCTCAACGAATTGGTGAAGAAAATGTTGTAGGCAAATTCGGTTATGGTGGAAGAAGTAAAAACGGAGAAAGGATGATTAAAATCGCGTTAGAAAACAATCTTGCATTCATGAATAATTTTTTCAAAAAAGATCAAAAGAAAAAGTGGCCTGGTTATCTCCAGATGGGTCATACAGAAATGAAATAGATTACATAGCAACTAACAACAGAAAAGTTTTTCAAGATATAAGCATTCTAAACCAATTTAATTTTAACACCAACCACCGTATGGTGAGAGCAGTTATAAATAGTATAGAACCGAAGAAAAGTAGAAACAAATTTAACGTAAAAGTCAACATTACAAAAACACCACGTTTAGTGAACAAACCAAAAAATGAAGTAGAAGAAAAATATAACAATATAATAAGCGAAATATATGGTCCACTATTCAAGAAATTCTCAAAAGCCAAGACAACTCATACCGAAAATGAAACAACATTAATAGAAGAAAGATAACTACTCCTAAAACTAGGAAAAGACAAACAAAACCTAAGGGCCATTTCAGAATTAAGTAAAAAAATAAGCAATAGCATCAAAAAGGGTAGAACAAAAAAAAAGAACCAACGTACTCAACTACTATATAAAAAAGACAGGAGGAATCAAAAAAGCATTAAAAGAACTAGTGAAGAAGAAGAAAACATGGATAAAAAATATTAAAAGTAAAACAGGAAAACAAGAAATGACAAGAAAAGCTATAATCCAGACAGCAACTGACTTCTATGGAAAACTTTATTCAGCAGAACAAAATATCCCAGATTTAACTATAAATCTCCATGACAGTGACGACGTAGAAGACATACCAGTTTTTCTACAATCAGAAATAGAAAAAACTGTCAACAGTCAAAAGAATGATAAGGCACCTGGACCAGATAAGATTACAAGCGAAATGATTAAAGCTTCAGTTATTTCACCGAAAAAGCTAAGAAAACTCACAGAAATATACAACTCTATCTTAAGCACGGAATGTATACCCTCTCAGTAGACCAAGAGCATAATCATATTATTACACAAAAAAGGCGATAGGACTATAATTGAAAACTACAGGCCTATAAGCCTCATGTCGAATATTTATAAAGTGTTCTCTAAATTGATTTTAAAAAGAATTACAGGGATAATGAACGAACAACAACCTATAGAACAAGCTAGTTTCAGAGCGGGGTTTCCAACTACTGATCATATGCACGTCATGAAACAGCTAATAGAAAAATGCCAAGAATACGATAAAGCCTTGTACGTAGCATTTGTGGACTATAGTAAAGCATTTGATTCTATTAAACATGACTCGCTTTGGAGGGCACTAATCCAGCAATAAGTACCAAAAATATATACTTATAATTAAAAATATATACGCGAATAACATAGCGCAAATAAAACTAGAAACAGTCGGCGATGAGTTCCCAATAGCTAGAGGGGTGAGGCAAGGAGATCCGCTATCCCCAAAACTTTTCTCTGCAATCTTGGAAAGCATATTCAGGAATCTCGAGTGGGACAATTTTGGCATTCAATATATTTGGCAAGCAACTTAATCATTTAAGATTCGCTGATGATATAAGTCCTCATAACCGACAACGCTAATACGCTCCAACATATGCTACAACAGTTGACGAAAGCAAGCAGAGTAGTTGGTTTTAATATGAATAAATCAAAAACAAAAGTAATGACAAACAGGCAAAACATGAAAAATAGCCATAAAAGTAGATAATGAAGATATTGAATGTTTTAAAACCTATACATACTTAGGGCAATTATTATCATTTAGAGATCAGACAGACATAGAAATAGAAAGAAGAGTGGCTTGTGCTTGGAAAAGATACTGGACTCTTAAAGAGATATTTAAAAGTAAATACTTTCCTATGGCAGCCAAGAAAAAAGTGTTCAACTCGTGTATCTTACCATGTCTTACATACGGATGCCAAACTTGGGCGTTGAATCAGAAACATCTTCTTAAACTGAGAACATGTCAAAGGGAAATGAGGGAAAGAAGTATGTTGGGCGTGACGCTAAAAGACCGCAAAAGAGCAGAAGATATTAGATCTACTACAAAGGTTGAAGATATAATAAAGAAAATTAGACAGTTGAAATGGCGATGGACAGGACACATGATAAGAGACAGCAGGATAAAATGGACGAAAATCATAACGGAATGGCAACCCCGTGATGGCAAAATAAAAAGAGGCAGACAAGCAAAAAGATGGACAGATGATATCAAGATTATTGGAGGGACAATCTGGTCAAGAAAAGCTAACAACAGAGAAGAATGGAAAAAGCTGGAAGAGGCCTGTGTGTCACAGGACACGGTGACTACTAAACTGGGAAATACGATATTCTAGACTTATTAAGTTAAAACAATCATTTAATACGTTAAAAAAATTATATTGTTTAGTATCAACAATTAAGGCTTAATAAAAAAGATACTTATACGTCTTGGACTTTATCTAGACCAGAAAGTGTATACTTCGATATCTACTACTGGAACTCCTTGAATAGTAGTAATAGTACTCCTCGAATAGTAGCATAGGTGTGCTGAGTTTGGGCTCGTTTTGTTAGTTATAATGAGACCTTACCTTCGAACAGTGGCGGATTATCCTTAAGGCAAACAAGACACGTGCCTAGGAGCGCAAGGTTAAAAAGGCGCCCGCGGAAGTTTTAAACGAGAAAAATCGTCGTATTTGCCTACTCCTAAATCGCTCTTACTCTCTCATCACATTTCTCGTTTAGTATGTTAATGGTACTCGTATCCTAATTATTTTATTTAACTATTTTATAAATTATAATATAGTTTATTTTATTATATACAATATTAAAAACTATAATAAAAAAAAACTAAAACTAGTAATTTAATTATCATACAATCCTACTTCCCGTGGTATCGTGCCAAGAACGCTGGCTGCATTTCTTCGCTGAATAGCTATACTTAGCCTTTGAGCGAGAAAATTATTCTATTACTGTTATTACCAGCAGCAACGACCAGTCACGGGTATATTTCCGTTAGGAACTTCACCGCACGTGGACCCCACGGATCGATAGTCTCTACAGCAAATTGCACAAATATGTAGTTATCTCTCAGAGACTCATATTTGTGCCACTTACTCAGTTCAGCTGCCTCTGATGCCACCCCGGCTCTAAATGAGGTAACCCTGAAATGAGAGGCCGCCAAAGTGTCATCCTCATCCATCATCAAAGTGTCATACGCAAGTAGCATCCCACATTAAGGCTTTACCTCTCTCCCAAGGGACCAATGTCATACCGTCGGGTCTCTTGCCATCGTCTTTAACTATTCTACAAGGCTCTAAAACCGAGGAAACATTTATAGAGACAAGAGTCCTTCGGATGACATCGTTCAAAGAACCGTGCCGTGAAAACCTACCGGCACTTTTCTTACATGAAAGTCCGTGGAGCCCAAACTTGTCAACGCTGTTATCACAGGGGCACATGGGGTTGACAAATCGCCGTTCCTAATCGAATTCCTATAGCGATTCGCAAGCTTTCCCCTTCAAGTAAATGTGCTGAGATTACTTGATGGTAAAGTGTGTAACCAGTGGCTAGATTCCTTAGTCGAAACAGCTAAAAGGCGTGCCTTATCTTGGTCACTATGGAAATTATGAAACAAATCTTTCTGCACCTTCTGTAACAACGGAATATCCGACTGTTTTTTGTTGGTTAACTTCTAGTGGAACAATTTCGCCGGGACAGAGCGTTTGCCATGTCTGCCCTGCCTCCGTGGCAAAGCACAGGTCTACTTTATTATTTAAAATTATGTTACATAAATCACTGATACTATGCACGGAAGCAAGGAAAGCAGGCAATGCAACGCTAGAAAGAGTTCTCACACCAATACCACCAAATTTTATTCTATTCTGTTCTGTCATGTTATACGTAATTTTTAATGCGCTTAAGGCATGCACTATTGGATTTACCAACATATTTTAAATTTTCGTCTATCTATCTATCTGTTATCTGTCCGTCTTGGCTAATCTTCGGAATGGCTGATCCGATTGCCATGAAACTTTATGAACAGAGAGAGAGAGCAATGCCGGGAGGGATCTAGGCTAAACATTTGACTCGAAAAGCTTGATTTTTTATTTAAGTAATAAAAAGTCGTAGGTTATCTTATATCCAAATAACGCCAACCAGCCTATCAAGGGACATCGGGGTGGGTCGCCACTAATAATAAAATCAAATCCAAACCCCAAGCCTACTCCACTGCTAGACTTCAAGATACTGTAAGCTCTTTCTGCGTAAATCGAACCAATAATTAATAGAAATAATAATATTGAAAAGTTGAAGGTAAGCTAAATTAACTATGAGCTCAGCAGCAGCACACAGTCCACCTGATGGTAAGTAGATGCTGAAGACTAAGATGGAATGCCTCGTTTTCAGTAGAAAGGGTCTACGATTCTCTACACTCACCAAACGTAACAAAGCAGCAGGTGGTAACAAAATAATATACTCGTTCTTTGTTTATTTATATTGTACTTCCGTCGACTTCGGGAAAAATTGCCACAGGATTATGGCAAAAAGGTTTCACTCTCTCATGTTTAGTTATACGCACCAAGTTTTTCTTACATGTTATATTTGTTATGGTCTAGCAAAACCTTGAGGTTTTTATTATTCCAGGTTCTTCATCATCGCTGATATTATGGGCAGATTACGTAGCCAGGATACCCGGCAGTCAGTTTTGGTCGGCTATTGTTTTCTTCACTCTTTTTGTTCTAGCATTGTCTACCACGGTAATTATAGAATCAGTGTAATATTAAATGTATTTATTTATTAAAAATCTATCAAAACTTAGGATGGATTCATACGAAGTATAGCCACGCTACAGCTACGTTATGGTTATAGCTCGACTGGGGGTACGAACACGCTATCACAGAATACTCCCAGTGTAAGTGTAGTGAGAAATTCTGAAATTCCATCGCTCACCGAGTGATTTTGGCCTTCCTCGTACGGCCAGCAGTTGAGAACCAAGTTTCGGTTCCATAAGTCAGTCGGTATTACAAATAATAATTGTCATAAGCAACGTTTAAAACCAGATAATTAATAAATAGCATTTTAACAAGAACTGATTGCTAATTATCGTGTAGGGTCGCTGTAAGAATATCCACTACCCCATATTATCCCGTGGGTGTCGTAAGAGGCGTCAGAGGCAAACAAATCAGGAGATGGGTAGCAGCGTCTTAATAAATAAAAAATTGCGGTTACCAAATCGCCCTCCAAGCGTGGCAACTATGTTCAGTCAGCTTTAAACTGTGGGTCAGAAGTGGACTTTAATAAACTAACGGTAAGAGAGTGCTAATTATTTTCACAGGCGTTACTGGTTCAAACTATAATGTCAACTTTCACGGGGCATTCTATAAGAAAGATCACTTGGGCATTTCTAGTGATGATTTGTGTGTTGTTTTGTTTCATCGGCATCATGACTCTGTGTACACAGGTAATAACAATTAAAAGAAGTAATTTCTTTTTAACAATTTATAAAAGGAACCGTGAATATTTACGCTTAGCACAAATTGTATAGTATAATTTAAAATTAAAAATTTTGTACAGCCAACTTCAATATAAGTTATTTAAGAATAACTCAATAACCATTGGTCTGACCTTGATCAAATTCATACGGGACCACACGAGAACTATCAGCTTTGATATAAAAAAAGAATCATCGAAGTCGGTTCCCCCAGTACAAAGTTATGAGGTAACACACATAAAAAAAACATACACTCGAATTGAGTACCGTCTCCTTTTTGGAAGTCGGCAGAAAATACTTAAGAAGTTTGGCTGGTGGTGCTCGCCGTGTAGAGGCGGTGTGTGTGATTTCACTATCGCATCTCATCCCATGGGTGTCGTGAGAGCCGACAGAGAGGGAACTAAAACAGGAGATGGTAATGACCATCTTCTTGTTAGTACAAAATAATTTAAAATTAAAAAATTTGTACAGCTGACTTCAATATAAGTTATTAAGAATAACTCAAAAACTATTGGTCTGACCTTGATCAAATTCATATGGGACCACACGAGAAGTATCAGCTTTCATATAAAAAAAGAATCATCGAAATCAGTTCACCCAGTAAAAAGTTATGAGGTAACACACATAAAAAAACATACGCGTCGAATTGAGTACCGTCTCCTTTTTGGAAGTCGGCAGATAAGGGAAAACTGCAATATATGGGAAAGGCTAATATTCAGCAGTGCAAATTTGATGGCTTGTTATGAATGAATGCGTGAAATAAATAGGAGATGCTTATAGCGCCATCTACCGAAGGCTAAAAGATCTTACGGGGATTTCCCTAAATCTAAGTATTGTAGAGTGGTAGAGCCACGCGGCAGCTTTTGCTGTCGCACGGATGGGCCGGCTCGAACCGTGCTAGTACCACGACCTCACAGAAAACCAGCGTGAAGTAGAGGTTTACCTCTGCGTTTCGCTTGGTGAGTGCAGGTGGCCGGAGGCCCTTTTTACTGGAAATGAGGCATTCCATCTTAGTCCTCACGGGTGACAACGCATCCACATTTTGATTTTTAACAGAGGATAGATGTAAATGTCTATGGGCCGCAGCAACCACTTACCATCAGGTGGACTGTGTGCTCGTTTGTCACCCTTATCCTATAAAAAAAAAGTATTTAAATATTTAACGCCGCCTCAAAACCAATATACAAACTACTACAAATGTAAAATGATACATATACGGGTCGGTAGATGAGTGGCTAAGCTTTTGGCTACGGCGCTCGGGCTGCGGGTAACATATTTCTGGATTCCGTGGAAACATATTTCTGGGGCCTACAAATCTTAATGTTAATTCACACCTCTTTCTGGATATAGGTAAAATTGCTGCAAAAATATGGAATCGAGTTGAATGTCAACATTTTGGGAAGATCTGTCTGAAATAATCCACGTAGGTTTCCATCTTAATTCTCTTAAACTCAGATATTTGCACAAAGAAATCGTACATTTATTTCAGTAATAACAAAAATAAGCGATGACAAAATAAAATGAACACCTAATAGCTACGTTAGCGTAATGTGCTCCAAACCGAGCTTTCCCTCATGGCGGCACGTTTCAACGGAGGCTATTAGCCGTCTGCCTAGGACAGAAATATAGTACACGCGTGTTTCTGTAAGCACAGGTGCACAGGTGTACTCTCTATTCATTCACTGTCATAGTCCGATGGGACGGCAATCTGACACGACCTGTGAGACATCAGGCACAGAACCAAAACTAGCATAGCTCGTAGTTGAATGATCACTCGCAAAGTTGCCGGTGAAACAAGGTTCAAGCTGAAAACAACCAGTCTTTGCAGTATTATGCTGAGTGGGATACCTCTTTGGTTTCACTTTTTTTAATTATAAATTACGCATACGTCTCTTTTCTTTTTTTCTGCTTTTTTATTTGATAATGCACAAGTTGTATATACACTGATACGTGCATATTTTAATATCTTGCTTTTAATTTGCGTTGTTTTAAATGTGTGTATAAAAAATATATTCATCTTCCTCTCGAGCCGAGAATTTCACCCGCTCATAGAGCGAAATAAAAATTAAGTATCATTCTGTTTTTATAGGCGGGACTGTATGTCCTAAACTTTCTAATGACGTGGCCGGTGTCCAAAGTGCGCGCGCCTATAGCGGCAGTTGTAGCGACGGTCATAACATACATGTATGGACAGACGACGTTCTGCGAAGAGGTCTACTTCGCCGTGGGTGAATACCCGTGCATGTTTATGAGAATATGCTGGGCTGTTTCGCCAGTCATACTCGTGGTAAGAAAGTAACGGACTTTGTACTCTCTTTTAATTCTTACGTTCTTTTATTTACTTACGATTGACCGTGTTTTGGACAGTAGCTTCGTTAGGCGCTCGATAACAAGGACTGAAAACTGTTATGGATTTTTAAATATAATCACTTTAATTTTGCGGTATCATTTATCTCTTCTTGTAAATCATTTATATACCATTTCATTATCGCTCTGCTGACTCCGTCCGGCCGCTCTGATGTCAAAATATTTCGTATGGTAAGTGACAAATACCGCATATCTATTTAATTAGTAAAAATTAATTGTCTCTTACTTTGCAGGGTGACAACGCATTTGCATTTTGATTTTTAATCGTGGGTAAAATTAGGTGTTAATGTATTTACCAAATTACCAGTTTCGCAGACGGTAAGGCATTGTACGAGTCAGTCTGTCAATTAGAAAATAGTACCAGTATTATGATATTAGGTCATGGAGCCGTGGCTAGCTCAGGGTATACGCTCACCGTTTTCATAATCTGGGTACGAATTCGAACCCCACTGACACCACGAAATTGTTAATTGCATTTTTAAATGCTTATTTGCGACGTGCTCGTCGGTGAAGGAAGACATCGTGAAGGAACGTGCGTGTTTAAGAAGAAAATATTCCGAGGATACGTGAAGTGTGCTAACACGCACTGGTGCAGTTCAGACGACTAATTGCATATTACGCTCTCAGAAATGAGAGGAGCCCTGAGCCCATCAATGCGACATATAAACGTGGTGTTTATACATGGTAGAGCCACACTGCAGCTATATTACGGTTGTAGCATGAATAGGTCCACTTGACCGGGATAGGGCCACGCTCTCACAGAATATCAGTATAAAATAGCAGCTTAATGCTGCGGTGTTCCGTATGTTGAGTGCAGAGAAGCATTCCATCTTAGTCCTCTGGGGTGACAACGCATCTGCATTTTGATTCTTAATCGAGGATCTATGGGCCACAGCATCCACTTACCAACAGGTGGAAAAAAGGCTGTAACTTTACTTAAACAAATAAAGAAAGAACAATATAAAAGTATCTACCTATCTTAGTACTTGCACTGACTATTTGCGTTTTTAGGTAATACTTCTAACTGGTATGGACGCATTATCGACCTTTGAAGCGACAGTTGGATCAATATCAGTTATGCTATGTTTGCTAGCTATTCCTATATTCCTGATCTTCTATTTCGTATTCAGGTGCAGAGTAAGGGTAAGTTCACTCCTTTGTTTATGCATATGTTGTATATTTAAACTATAGTCAAAAGTACGATTCGTCTGGTACTGACTAGTAAGTACTGTTAACCAATTTTCTCAAATTTCAAAAATTCTCATTGGCAATGTTTATGCTAGTATTTTTTATTTGTTTCAGAACATCGTGGATAATGAGAAATAATGAACTAGTTACATTTTAGATTTATATTTTAATAAATATTTATATACTTACTTTAATCGTATTTTTATTGAAATCTTGTTAAAATTTGATTGCAAAGTAATTTTTTTATAGGATAAGGATTACAAGCGAGCACACAGTCCACCTGCTAGTAAGTGGTTGCTGTGGCCCATAGACCTAGACGTGGACATAGACGAGGATAGCCTCGTTTGCGAATCAAAATGCAGATGCGTTGTCACCCGTGAGAACTAAGATGGAATGCCCCTTTTTCAGTAAAAACGCAGCGGCATTAAGCTGCTATTACGCTGGTATTCTGTGAGAGCGTGATGGTCCTTCCCCGGTCGAGCCGACCCTTTCGTGATACAACTATACAATTAATACAGCTGCAGCACGGCTCTAACATGTTGAAACATTTGAGTACAAGCGTGGCTTTGGGACTTGATATTACATTGCTCTTGTTGTGACAGCGCGGCTTTAGGGAATCCAGTAAGGAAGCCCTTGTAAGTGTAAAAGCCGACTATGGCAAAGGTCAGAAGTACCTCATAGCCTTCGATAGATGGAAGATACTACCTCGTATATGCAGATGTAAAATACCCAGCACGTTGACGGGAATTAGCGACAGACCTTACATACAAGTCCTATATCTGCCGTTTAGATCCTAACTTATGGAGTAGGGACTCTACTCCCGTGCCTGGCTCTTCGGCCGTGAATTGGGATATGCATACTTAACGGAGATCGTACCAGTAGTCGAATTCCACTTTGACTGGTCAGTGAGTAGTTACCCTCCCCTTATTAGGGTTCCGTACCCAAAGCGTAACCAACGGGACCCTATTACTAAGCCTCCACTCTCCGTCCGTCCGTTCGTCTGTCAGCGGGTTGTATCTCATGATCCGTAATAGGTAGACAGTTGAAGTTTTCACAGAATGTGTTGCCGCTATAACAACAAATAATAAAAATAAAAATAAATTGGAAAATAAAGGGGGTTGCTCTAGTAGAACGTGTTTTACGATGTTACGGGACCCTTCATGCACGAGTCCGACTCCCACTTGGCCGGTTATTTTTTATTACAGTTCACAACTACATAATATTTATATATAAAAATTACGTGTCACATTGTTTGTCCGCGATGAACTCTGGAACTACTGGACTAATTTTAATGAAATTTTGCACACGGTGTTCAGTTTGGTCCAACTTGAGAGATAGGATAGTTTTTATACCGATATGTGACCCTCAATATTTTTATTACGAATTTAAGAATTTTTATAGGACACAGGGTCGTCGGAGAGTGCAGAACAACGTCTGCCTGGCCAGCTAGTTAATTATATTACTCTTGTTGTAGTTGCTTGGTTGTATGGTGGGATCCAAGATATTTAAGCTCGCATAAATTGTATAGTACATCATAGTTCATCAGTATAAATTAATAATCTAGGTATCTTTATATATAAAAACTAGCTGGCCAGTCAGACGTCGTTCTGCCCTTTTCGACGACCCTTCAAATAAAAAATCCTTAAATTCGTAATATTTTTTTTATAGAATGAGGGTGACAAACGAGCTCACAGTCCACGTGAAGGTAAGTGGTTGCTGCGGCCCATAGACATCTATATCTATCCTCTACTACAAATCAAAATGTAGATGCGTTGTCACCCGTGAGGACTAAGATGGAATGCCTCATTTCCAGTAAAAAGGGCCTCCGGCCACCTGCACTCACCAAGCGAAACGCAGAGGTAAACCTCTACTTCACGCTGGTTTTCTGTGAGGTCGTGGTACCACCCCGGTTCGAGCCGGCCCATCCGTGCGATAGCAAAAGCTGCCGCGTGGCTCTACCACTGTTATAAACAAAATATTGAGTGTATCAGGATAAAAACTATCCTATCTCTCAAGATGGACGAAACTACACAGAGTGTGCAAAATTTCATTCAAATCAGTTCAGTAGTTTAGAAGTTCATTGAGGACAAACAACGTTGCACGTAATTTTTATAAGTATATAAAGATTACATGTCACATTGTTTGTTCGCGATGAACTCCCTTAACTACTGAACTGATTTCAATTTTGCATTCTGTGCAGTTTGGTCCAACTTGAGAGATAGGGTAGTTCTTGGGTTAGCTATAGACATCCGGTATTTGATTTTAATTGTTTTCAGTTTAGGAGACTTGTCAGGGTTAAACTTGAACCTTATACACTGTTTTAGGATGTCGGAAGTGCGTTTTGAATTAATAATGATAAAAATAAATTTCACTAAAAATTGAAAGAAAGAAAGAGATAAATAAATAAGTTTATTTGGCACATAAATTATAACAAACAAAAATAAATCATATAAAACAGTTTTTTTAACTTAATAAAAATAAAATAATAAAAATAAAAAAATGAATAAAGGAAACGTAATAAGCACCAAAATGGTCTCCACTCAGATTTAAGTCACGAATTGAATATATACCTACATTAATTCGTAACGCTGGTTTTCAGTGGAGCTAGGAGTGTGAGGCAGATGACAAAAACAGCAAGAGAAAAAATATTAACAAAAATATAAAATAAAGGTAGAATAAAATGAACAAATCTGTCAAAATTCCATGTACCAGTGATACATTTATAGTGTAGTAATAACAACAGGTGGTATACATACAGAAAAATAAAATAAATTGTGTTTGTGTGTGTGAGACAGAGAGTGGATGTGTGCATGCGTACGTAAGTGAGTGAGTACGTGCGTGCGTTTGTAAGTGCATGTACGGTGCTAGCATCGAGAGTGTATGAACCATACCATTTATGCCTATTTGCTGGATCTTTGTACTGAAATCAGAAACTTTTTTAATAAAGTTTTGAAAGTGACAACTGATTTACTATTTCTGATGGGTGGTATATCATTCCAGCACTTAGTGGCAGCAAAGCAGAAACTGCCACGGAAGGCAGCTGTGTGATGCTTAGGGTATGTAAGTCGTGATGCTGTCCTAACCGCACACTGCGAGAAAATGAGCTTTTGGAACAAGTATGATGGTTCCCCGGTATTTATTACTCCAAAAAGCAATGACGCAAGGTGGAGGGTACGTCTAGCGGCCACACTCATTAAGTCGTGTCGATTTAAAAATGGGATTATGTGTGATCTCTTAGGGATTGTGAAGCAGAAACGTGCACAGGCATTTTGAATTATTTGTATTAATATTTTGGTTCTAGCGAGCAAACACTCACCAAATACTGTATCCGCATAAGTTAGCTTCGACAGAATGAGTGCTTCACACAACCTAATGCGCATGTCCACTGTCAAATACTCCCTTATCTGGTACAAGACTTTGAGTCTATAGAAACAGTCACGCATGGTTTCTTGTACATGACCCTCAAAACGTAACCTTCCATCCATAACGAGACCTAAGTTCCGAGCGTCCAATACACGTTCTAATGGATTACTCTTGATGTTAATTTGCGGATTGAAAGTTAGAATAGTACTTGTCTGGTTATGCGTTCCCAGTAACATTTACTTAAATTTAATGGGATTCAATACCAGATTATTTTGATTACACCAATCGGCTATGTGGTCCAAATCTGAATTGATTTTTGTTACTGTAATATTTGTGTCACTGGGTTTAAAAGACATGTACAATTGAAGGTCATCAGCATATATACTCGTATGATAAGTACAGTTTTTTATGGTGTTCACTATATCTGAGCTATACCATATAAAAAGTATAAATGGCCTCAAAATGGAGCCTTGAGGTACACCTCTTGGAACTGGCAACGTGGTATATTCTGATCCATTGTTTTTATTTATTTTAACAAATTGTGTACGACTAGTAAGGTAACTTGCAAACCATTTTATTGTTATATTATCCAATCCGTAATAAACCAGTTTTGATAAGAGTAGAGTGGTGTTAATGGTATCAAAAGCTTGGGAAAAGTCAAGCAAAACTAACAGAGTACTCTATCCAACATCTGGTGCAGTCAGAATATCATCCACTACATCCATCACAGAGCCGTTGCAGTGCTACGAGACTTTCTGAATCCAGATTGCTTTTTAGGCAGAATATTATTAGCCTCAAGGTACTCAGTCATTTGTGTACAGACTACCCTTTCCAGAATTTTTGACATAAAGGGCAGGATACTTACAGGACAAAGACGTCGTATATTTAAATGGCATGGATCATAAGACAATGACTTGTGACTTTTGAGGGTTGTCCAGAATACAACTTCCTGACAGAGAGTAAACCGCTGATACGAAACAGAAAATCGGTAGAAAAGCGTCTCTTCTTAAAGTACATAACTTTAATAAGAGAACGCTGCGCCCTCTCTAATTCAAGAAATCGAGTTTTTGCTGCACCACCCCAGACAGGAATACAGCAGGCCAAGACGGATTGAGCAAGAGCAATGTAGATTTGATTGAGGAGATAATTTGGTGAGTCCTCATCCGATTTGCCCAGCATTACATGTCTGAGGGTTTTGAAGATCCAAGTTAGTTTCCTCATTCTATTGATGACATGATCAAGGTGTGGGTACCATGATAGTCTTTGGTCTACAATTACTCCCAGATATTTTGTCTGAACTACCTTATCGATCGATACAGGTGTTTTTATTAGTATCCGTTGTACATTAATGAATTTTTAAACTGAAGTCGGCCTGAGGTTGCGAGTTCTTGTTAGTACTAAAACATATATATTATGTTTTAAAAGTATTTAGGGTCAGGAGGTTGTGTTTCAGCCACTGAGTGATTCGCAACAGACCAGCCTCAGCACTAGTTTTGACCACCTCCCAAGAATCACCGGCAAATACTACAGCCGTATCATCAGCGTATGACAAAACTCTGGCGTTATAGATCCTCATGCTACATAGGTCGTTGATGTAGATGAGAAAGAGGGTAGGTCCTAAAACGATGCCCTGCGGCACGCCATACGTCACTTCAACAGCTTCACTAGTGCAACCATTTAGTTATACTCTTTGTCTCCTGTCCGTTAAGTAACTCTGAAAAAGGGCAAGCGGAGTCCCCCTTACTCCCATATCTTCAAGTTTATGCACAAGGATG